ATAACAAGTGTCGGTGAGGATGTGGAGAAAAAGGGATCCTCGTGCATTGTTGGAGAGAATGCAAGTGTAGAGTTTCCTCAAAAAATTAAAACTAGAAATATCATGTGTTCCATGAATTCCACTACTGGGTCTTTACCCAAAGAAAATGAAAACACTAATCTGAAAAGATATATGCACCACTATGTTAATTGCAGCTTATTTATAATAGCTAAGATACAGAAGCAACCCAAGTGTCCATTGACAGGTGAATGGATGAAAGAGATGTGATACGTATACACACAATGGGATATTACTCAGCCATAAAAATAATGAGATCTTGCCACGTGAGACAATATAGATGGACCTAGAGGATATTATGCTAAGTTAAATAAGTCTAAGAAAAGACAAATACCATATGATTTCATTTATATGTGAAATCTGAAAAACAAAACAAATGAATAAACAAAAAGCAAAATCAGACCCATACATGCAGAGAACAAACTGATGGTTGTCAGAGGGAAGAGGGTAGGGGATACACAAAATGGGTGAAGGGGAATGGGAGATACAAGCTTCCAGGTATGAATGAAAAAGTCACAAGGATGAAAGGCACAGCATAGGGAATATAGTCAATGATACAGTGTTGCATGGTGACAGATGGTAGCTACACTTGTGGTGAGCATAGGATAACATATAGACTTGTTGAATCACTGTGTTGTATACCTGAAACTAATGTAACATTGCGTATCAATATACTAAAAAAAAAAAAAGACATATTATTAATGGCCCTTTACTATGTAGCTTGCAGCAACATTCTGAACACTGAATATTAAGTGGTCTTATGTCTCTCCCGCCCAGATTATTCTGAGCCTTTACTCCAGTACAGAATAAATTCCAGGATTTTTTTCCTTAGCTCCATCCTGACCACAGTGTTAGCCATTGAAAGTGAATGATCCATGTTTTAAACATTTTAAAATATTTCACAGTAGTGAACCAAAGAGTGCTCAATTTAAGTTTTAATTGTCTTTTCATTGATATTAATATAACTTTGTTACCCATAATGTGTTTGTTCAGCCAGGGTTTTAATTTGCCTCTGGCTACTCTTTTACTCTCAACTTTGATCTTCTGCTAAGTGGTTCCTACTTCCTTACCCATCAACACTAATGATTTCTCAAATATTTCCAACAACACATTTTCCCGTTAAATTTTTTTTTATAAAATCTCAACTTTGTGGAAGAAAATTTCAAATGCATTTTAAAAATAAAAAATACTGGCACTATTTTTATTTTATGACATTCTCATATATATACAGAGAGTGAGAAAGAGAGAGTGAGGGAGGGAGAGAGAGATGAGGAGGGAGGTTTTCTTTGCATACTAACATTAACAAACTCAAATTGTCAATTTGGTTTCATCTCAGAAACCATCATTAAAATCAGAGAGGTAGACATTTAGACATTTCGACCCAAGCCATACCAAGAGGTGGTTAATAGCACATGAATGTCTGGTTCAGGTTAAACTGATTGCTGTGGAGGACCGCTGAGAAAACACGCAAACCCAGAGCACGAAAGAAGTCCTGTGGCAGAACACATACAACACAAACAAATTAAGTTTCAGGGGAGTCGAAAGTTATATGTGGATTTTTGACCGTGCAGGGTTGGCACCCCTAACCTCTGTGTTGTTCAAGGCTCAAGTGTAATTCCATCCCAGAGACACTTCTCCAAGAAAACAGTTTTATGTAAAAGGTGAATGCTATAATATTATTTACATAGTAAGCCATTTAAAACTATGTAAATGTCTAACAACAGATGGGTGATAAACTATCATAAATCTAAATGATGGAATTTATGATAGCCATTGAAATGAATGTTTAGTACAAAATGTCTTTTTTAATATCAAGTGGAAAAAAAACAGGATACATGATTTTATATAGTATTATAACATGTAAGTAGGATTTTTCATTAAACAATGCAGGTACATTATGCCAAATATTAATAGTAGTTATAACTATATGCATACATAAATGTTCATTTTTTGGTATTTTCTAAATTTTTTTCTAAGAAAGATGCATTGCTTTTTTAATGAGAAAAATAATTTTCCACAAAACGTTTTTTAATTTAAATATTTTATTTATTTATTTATTTATTTATTTATTTATTTATTTATTTATTTATTTATTTTTACAGATTTTATTTATTTATTTGAGAGAGAGCATGCATGCACAGCCAGGGGAGGAGCAGAGAGAGAGGGAGAAGCATACTCCCCATTGAGCAGGGAGCCCGTTCCAGGACCCTAGGATCATGACCTGAGCCAAAGGCAGCCGCTTAAATGACTAAGCCACCCAGGTGACCCTGAAGATTTTATTTATTTAATTTAGAGAGAGAGCACACGTGAGTTGGGGAGAGAGGCAGAGGGAGAGGTAGAGAATCTCAAGCAGACTCCCCACTGAGTACAGAGATGGAGGAGGGGCTCCATCTCATAACCTTGAGATCTCAACCTGAGCCAAAACCAAGAGTTGGGCACTTAACTGGCTGCACCACCCAGGCAACCCTCCACAAAAAGTTTTAAACTTCCACAATTTAAGAATAATTTCTTTGGTAAGAGAATGGATTAAATGATTTCAGTACTAAAGAATTAGTTGCACAATGAAATGCCAGTTGGTGGGTCATCAAATAGTGGGTTTTTTTTGTATTGGTTTCCAGGGCTGAGGTGAGGAGGGACAACATATCTAGTTATTGGCAAAATAGCCCCAAAAGAAACATCCCATTAAAGAGGGTTTCCAATATTGGCTAGTTGAATTTAAATAAAAATAAAAATAAAAATAAAAATAAATAAATAAAGAGGGTTTCCAAAATGATTAAAATATCTATATGCAAAGATATTTAGTCAATCATTTGTATCATAGAATAAGATAATAGTAATGTCAATGGAAAATACATATATTTTTTACATTTTCCTGCTGTGAAATGCACTTCACCATTCAGGAAAGTGCTCTCCAAGTTAGAGTGTTAACAGGGGTGGTGAGGGACAGAATAAGGTATGCTTTCCTAAGTATACTTATTTTTTAGACTGCTTTATTGATGTAAAATTAACACACAACAAACACCACATATTTAACATGTATAATTTGTTTTGACATATGTACACACCCATGCAAAATTAATACAATCAAGGTAATGAACATTTTCATCACTCACAAAGGTTTCCTTGTACCTTTTTATAAATCCTCTCTCTGGCCTCTCCTGATTCCACCCACATACTCTCTACCTGAATTAGTTTGTCACTACAGAATATAGATTAATCTGTCACTAGGGATTGGTTTGTATAGCCTAGAATTTGATAGAATTATATTGAGCACTCTTTTTATGTGTTTTATTCATTCCGCAAAATCAATAGATTAATTCCTACTGTAGAATATATCGATAGTTCGTTTTTATTGGTAAAGAGTATTCCATTATATAAATTTTGCATAGACTAATTATACTATATACATGTATAAAATATAACCGTTTGCTGATCTGTTCACCTGTTTATGGGCATTTGATTTGTTCAGATTTTGGCAATTAACCTTAAAGTTTCTTTGAACAGCCCTGTACAAGTATTTTTATGGAAATAGACTTTCAGCCCTCTTCAGTAAATATCTTGTTGCAGAATGGCTGGATCACAGAAGTATGTACAACTTTTTAAGAAACTGCCAAACTAAAAAAAAAAAAGAAAAAGAAAAAAGAAACTGCCAAACTTTTCCCAAAGTGGCTGTATTATATTTTTTTATATTCTTTTTTTTTTAATTTGGCAATAAATGAGAGATGCAGTTCCTTCACATCCCTGTCAACACTTGGAATGTTCACACCTTTTAATTTAGCCATTCTAGTAGAAGTGTGGTGATATTTCATTGTAGTTTTAATTTGCATTTCTTTAATGGTGGATGGTGTGGTGTATGGTTTCTTTTGCTTATTTGCCACAGTAGGATACCTTTTTTGGTCTATTCAAATTTTTGGCTCATTTTTAAAAATGAGTTGTTTATATTGAGTTTGGGGAGGTTTTTATATTTTCTGGATATGATAAGTTCATTATATATATGTTTTTAAGAATTTTCCCTTTATTACTAGTTTTTAACAATTGGATCAAGATGTGACTTGCAATTGACTTCTTATTTCTGGGACGTGGGATTCATTGAGATTCTTGGATCTGTGGATTCATAGATTTCATCGAATTTAAGAATCTTTCAGCCTTTCTTTCATCAAATATTTTTTTTTTTCCTGTCCGTGTCCCCTTCCTTTGGCCACTTGTACTACAAGTATATTCGCCACTTTTCAAGTTGCGGATTTTGTTGTTTCATATCTCATAGATTCTCTGTTCATTTTTTAAAAATTGTCCTTCGCCTCTGTGTTTCATCTTCATAGTTTCTATTCCCAAATCTTCATGCTTACTAATTTTTTTAAACATTTTTTTTAAAGATTTTATTTATTTATTCATGAGAGACAGAGAGAGAGAGAGGCAGAGGCAGAGGGAGAAGCAGGCTCCCCGCAGAGCAGGGAGCCTGATGCGGGACTCGATCCCAGGACCCTGGGATCACGACCTGAGCCGAAGGCAGATGCCCAACCGACTGAGCCGCCCAGGCGTCCCTTCATGCTTACTAATTTTATATCCACAATGTTGCATTTGTCATTAATCTCATCCAGTGTATTATTCATTTCATTTTAGTTTGCATTTGTAGAAATGCAGTTTTTGTCTTTTTTATATCTTCCATGTCTATACTTAATGTTTGAACATATAGAGTTATGATGACTCTTTTAATATTTTTATTTGCTAATTCTAACATCTGTTTCAAATCTGGCTTTCAATTGATTGATTTTTTTCCCCTTCATCACAAGTCATATTTTTCTACTATTTTGCCTAGTTGGCAGATTTATTGATTATTTTTTTATTGAATACCAGTCATTATTAAATTTGCTTTGTTAGATGCTGGATACTTTTGTATCATCATATATGTTCTTGAGCTTTGTTCTGAGTCACAGTTAACTTACTTGGATACTGTTTGAACTTGCTTTTAAGATTTGTTAGGCAAGACTAGAAAAGTGTTTAAAGATTTTTTTTTTTTTTTTGAGACAGAGAGAATGAGAGACAGGGAGCATGAGAGGGGGGAGGGTCAGAGGGAGAAGCAGACTCCCTGCCGAGCAGGGAGCCCGATGTGGGACTCGATCCCGGGACTCCAGGATCATGACCTGGGCCGAAGGCAGTCGCTTAACCAACTGAGCCACCCAGGCGCCCTAGAAAAGTGTTTAAAACTACTTATTTCCTATTATTGATAAAGACACTTCAGCGAGCTCCACGTTATGCCCTGTGAATCATGGGGAAGGGGCTATTTTCAGGTCCGTGGTCACTGCCAGGCACTGTCACCTCGACGTCATTCAGGTGGTTCTTTCCCTGGCCTTGGGTAGTTTCCCCACACCATGCACTCATCGACACTATGCTAAAGCCATGAAGAGTCCTGCTCCGATCTCTGGAGTTACCATTCTGTGCAACTCTCTCCTCTCTAGTACCTTGCAGAGGCAAACTCTAGCATCTTTTTGTCCTCAAACCCTCAGCTCTGTCTCTTCAACTCAGGGCGTTGGTCAGACTCTGGCTGGGTTCTGCCTCCATATTCTATGACCTAGAAACTCTCTCAAGGCAGTAAGCTCAGGAAATCATAGGGTGCACATCATTTTCCTCCACCTTTCAGGATCACTGTCTTATGTTCCTTGATGCTAGCGTCTTGATAACTCTTACTCCATATGTTTTGTACATTTGTTTCTTTTTTCAGCTTCAGTGGAAGTTCTGTTCTCAGTTACTCCACCTCAGTTGGAAGTGGACATACCTAAGTGTATTCATTCAGATCTTAAATGACAAGCTGCAAGGCTCAGCATTCTGACTAGTGAATAAGCAGTTATAATGTCCATACAATCATGGAAACTCAAATATTTCTCTGTGCAATAATTCATACAAAAAGAAAAAAAAGATGGCTTTCGCCAGAATTGTTATTGTCATCGAATGGGCATAGCTTTCAGTAAATGTTTTGTACTTTATCTTTTTAAAAATTGCTTTTTGAAATTAATATTTTTCATTCTATTCTTGATTAGCTACAGTTCTTAAAGTGCCATGTGTTAATTTTATTTTTTACTGCCAACTTAATGCTCTTAAAAGATTATAGAGATAAATCTAGAAATTATTCATTTTACATTTCTTTTTTAAAAATTCAGGATGTTTCCATGTAAACTTAATTTTAGAAGAATATACAAGTAAAAACATAGTAGAGAAATGGGAATATTTTATAATAAGGAAAACATAATTTTTGTGTGGATAAAACCTATCAACTTATGGAACTTTATATCAATCACTTAGACTCTGCCTACAGGTAAAATCACTTTAATTGCTTTGCTTGAGTTGATTGCTTGGTTGTTTCAAACCCCTGGCAATTCAGTTAAATTGGTTGGACTGTTGCAGAAGATGAAACTGACGGGTTGTTTCAATGAAATGACTCACCATGTCAATCAAAAATGGCTGAACTGGTTGTATATGGAGCCATAAGACAATCTGGGAATAGCAGTGCTATGTTGGGTGCTACGGGTTCTGGAGAATTCAATAATATTTTAATTATTTCTTTTTTTTTGCAATATTTTTATCAAAGGACTTTGAAGCTACAACAGTATTAAAGCTCCTTAGATGTAAGGTGTCTTTGTTATTTGAGGAGAAATAGTAGTGATTACAAATAGTCTGTGGCATGCATTGTTTGCACAAAAGTACAAAGACTTAGAATAACCCCCTGTTCGCCTGATAGAACACTCATATAAACTAAGTTAAATATACACTAGTAAGAAACTGGCTTAACGTTTACCCAATGACCACTGAAAAACTGACATAGAAACCTCAAGTGATACTCAAGAAATAGATTAGTACATTTATGCTGGATTTACAAAGTATATCATGGCATTTCTTGTCATCAAAATGTCAGTAAGCATTACAGTAACAACAGGCCTTGCTTAAAACTTCTTCCTAACAGCAAGGTTTTTGAGGTTTCTGCTTAGAATTTTATTTTGTGGATTAAGAGACTTCAACAAAGACTAACTTGGAAGAACATCACAGTTTCTCTGAAGTCTTGTATTTGAAAGTGGCGTGGACACATGTGTATTCACTATTCTAGTTCTCTCCTGAGTCTGCATGTTTTCATGAAGAAAGAAACAATACAGGCTGAACTGAGCATTAGAAGGGAAATCACATGGTCTAAGATGGGAATTGGGGTAAAGGTAAGGTGATCTATAATTTGAATGCAATGTCTCATAGACTCACATCCTTTTAGAGGTAGAAAATACTTTAACAGCCAGCTAATACATTCCTTAATTTTGCGGATATTCTAGGAAGTGAAGTGACTTCACACAGAGATAGGATAAAGACCCATCCATGCACGTCAACTGTTAGTTCTCAAAGTCTTGACTGGTAGATCACTAAATCTGTCCACACTGATATTTCCTCCTCTCTGACACACAGCAGAGTTTCTAAAGGTGAGACACATTTGCTGTGGCCAGCAGCAGTGGCTCTTCCTCCCTCTATGGAGTGGGATTGATACTCTTTCCTTTTTGCAAGGGACTTTGCTGGGAGAACTCCACTGCTCCCACCCCATAGATCTAATGATTCAGGGAAATGCAAAGTGGTTTGTGCTTATTAAAAATAAGCAGGGCGCCTGGGTGTTTCAGTCAGTTGAACGTCAGACTCTTGATTCTGGCTCAGGTCGTGATCTCAGGGTTGTGGGATCGAGCCCTGAGTTGGGCTCCATATTCAGCATGGAATCTGCTTGTCCCTCTCCCTCTGCTCCTCCTCCTCTCCCTCTCTCTCTCTCTCTCTCTCTCTCTCTCAAATAAATAAGTCAATAAAATCTTTAGAAAAAGAAACAAAAGCCTGGAGTTCTTAAATAGGGAAGACAGTTTAGGGCAGTAGTTAAGAAAGAGCACAGACCTTTGGTATGAATCACACTAATTGTCACGTGAGGTTGTACAAGCTATTTGACTTCTCCAAGCCTTACTTTCTTATCTGTAAAAATGTAATAATTATTTTGGTCTCATACTATCAAGTAAAGGCTAATCACATTTAAAGTGTTGGACACAGAATCTATCAAAAAATATTCAGTTACTATATAATCAAATAGGATTTTTCATCCCCTTTGTTTCTTTTCCTAGAAGAGCCCTGTGATCTGGTAGCCCTTGGTTTTACTCACGATTCACAATGGGGAAAAATGAATTTTTATAGCTTACAAATTTATTAGGCAACCATGTTTTCACGTATCAAATATAAAGTATTATAAACACATCATCTCAGAATCAATACCAAATCGTTACCCAAGTTTTCTTTCAGATTCATCTGTGGCCACAGGTTTCTGGAAGGCTTAGAAATACAGCAACAATGAAGCTTCAAGGTCAGTGTGCCGATGAGGGCAGTCACCCATGAGTATTTGGAATTGGCGAGATAGCTTTTTCTACATCCCCCTTTACACCCTTCTTTTTTTTTCCTTTCAGGCGAGCTGAATTTAAAGGACTGGGATCCATGTGCCCAGTTGATAACGGCTCCTGAAAGCTCAATGTAGCAGTTAAGTCCAGGGAAATGAGGTAGTAAGAGGAAGGTTTGAGAATCACTGAATCAATTTAATGTCAAGCGTCTCTTTGCTCTTTCTTTGTACTAGAACCAGAGGAAGGTATGTTGAAATAGTATATAAATAAATTATTTTCCTCTTATATATTTTAAAAGATCTTTTGATGAATGAGTTATTAAGTTAATGAAGGTAAGGAAAGTGGAACGAATTTATTCTTCTCTATACATTTTGTTTGGACATGCTGCAAAATGAATGGCTCTCAGCCTTCAGAAGGAGTGTTCTTCCCACACAGCGTGCCTCTTCTACAGCCCTGCCGCAGGTGACACCAAACACAATTAGCCTTTCAGTTGGGCTTTGCATTTTTCTGATCTTCTAACAACTGGGTGTCAGATATCTCAATGTATAACCACCCACGCACAACAAGATCATACATTAGATTCTTTGTTATCTACTTTTATGAAAGATTTCTGAAAGCTAAAAGGAATAAGTTAACTTTGCCAAATCTGTGATAAAGTTTCTTTTTCTGATTGTTAATGGTATTTCCATGGCTGTACAGTTAATCCCCATCAAGGACAAGATATTTACATTATCCTAAAAGGAGGACCCTGAAAGTCACATGGCATACATAGGCGGGGGGCAAGCTGCTAAATAGTAATTAGAGCAAATCTTTCCTAATGTAATGTATATGTGCTGCCAAAGCGAGCACTTTCCTAATGTAATGCAAACATAAATCAAGTACGCAAAATCAAATATAACACTTTTACTTAAATTTCTCAGATTTTAATGATCTTACACCTAAGTTTTCCTCCAGGTGGGTAGTTTAGTGTTAACATTCCTGTGTTCATAGTTTGTAGAGATGTGTGGTCTGGTGGAATGTTTGTGAGCAGAGATGATGTTTATCTTTTTCACCATTAACTTCACAAATAGATATTCAAAAGATACTTGTTTATTACTGAATGAAACATTATATAAACAAACAAACACAAACTACTGACACTCAGAAAAAGTTAGTAGATATGCCCAAGGTCACACAGACAATAAATGATTGATTCAAATCCATGTCTTAACCGCAGAGTCCTCACTCTTAACCATTAATTAAGAGAGATTTGGTTCTCTTATCTGCATACCTAGATGGTGAGGACTCCTGAGGTTTTGATCATAGTCAGCCCACTAGGTGATCAATACCTAATAATTGGTGATAAATGTGTTGATCAGTACCCTTAAGATTGTCAAGCAAATTAATATCTAGGTAGTACCAGGCCTTAGAGAGAAATAGTTGCTGTAAGTTCAAGGAGAAAAACAAGTATTGGCATTTATTTCTTGAGTTATGTAAGTATGTGAGAACATTTTTGAGAATTTCTTTATTATAAGGAAAATCTTAAAAACTCCCAGGGACTTAGTAGCTCAAGCTGGCCCATGTGCTGAGACTAAGTTTCCCTGTAAGACAACAATGTACAAAGTGAGCAAAGATGGATGGATGAATAGATAGATAGATAGATAGATAGATAGATAGATAGATAGATAGATAGATATAGATAGATAGATGATAGATAGATGGACAGATAGATATGTAATGGAATATTATTCACCCTTACAAAAGAAGGATATCCTGCCATTTGTGACAAAATGAACGAACCTGACAGAGAAAGAAAACTACTGCATGGTATCACTTATATGTGGAATCTAAAAACAACAACAATAACAACAACAAAACCAAACTTACAGAAATAGTAGAAAAGTTGCCAGGGGTGGGAGGTGGGGGAAATAGGGAGAGGTTGGTAAAAAGGTACAAATTTCAGTTTTAAGGTGAGTAAGGTCTGAGAATATAATGTATACATGATGGCTGGTTGATAACATTGTATTGCATACTTGAAATTTGCTAAGAGAGAACTTACACTTTCTCATCAAAAGACAAAGGAAGGAGTAACTATGTAGGGTGATGGATGTGTTAATTAACTCAATGAAGGGAATCTTTCACAATGTATGCATATATCAAGTCATCACATTGTGCACTTCAAATATCTTACAATTTTGTCAATTATACCTCAATAAAGATTTTTAAAAAACAATTAAATAAATAAACCTAGCTATCAACTGCCATGGAAGGAAAAAGGGAAGAGTGACTTGGAGATAATAGATTAATCAAATTTGGGGTAATATTAAGGTCAGTCTTAAAGGATGAGTAGAAGTTTGAAAGGCAGGAGGGAAGAATTTATCAGTATAAAAAAAAATGAGCAAAATTACAGAGGCATGAACATGTACTAAGTGCTTGGCTTGGAGAATGACAGGCAAGTTCGTGATTGGAACTGAGAGTGGGCAGGGAAAAAAGCATGAATGATCATACAGACCAGCCGTCTTCATAGCCTAGGGCTGCAGACGAAAAATTTTCAAGAGCTAATCTGGCACGGGTAATCTTTTTAGTAACCAATTTCTAGATACTTAACTCCTAAATATAGTCCTTTCTAAAACTATGTGAGAATGTCTCTGTTTTCTAAGTCATGCCTTATTTTCTTTCTTATCTTCCCTTTTCCAGTAGACTTTCTTCCACTTTACAAAAGAGAGGTCCTTCTCTTACACAACTTGAATTTTACTATGCCTAATTGCCCAGGGGTAAAAGACACTGGTCACTGAACAGACAATTTATATGTGTGTGTGTGTGTGTGTGTAATTTAAAATTCTGTATTCTTATCAATGCTGGGAATTTGGGCTAAGGTAGGATTATTTAATTTTTGTTTAATGACTTTATTTATCCATCTCAGAAGATCAGAAAAGAATGCATTGCTCCAGTGAGCAATGAATGTCTTTCATGAGCAAAGCTAAGAGTCCATATAAGAAATGCTGAGGGTTGTGATGGTTTATTTTATCCAAATGAAAAGGTAGCAGCAAGCCTGATCTATTTATTTATGTATGCACCCATCTTCCCATGTATCACTTATCTCTCCCTGTAACTATCTCAGAATTCAGAAGGGAAATGATTGTCATGAAAATATGAATTTATACATTTCTTTGAATTGAAAAATAAAGACAGACTTTGGGTTATATGCCAGGCATTTTCCACAAATTGAATAATCTAAGTCTATAAATCCAAAGTTTTGACAAAAAATATTTAAAATACCTATTGACAAGAAATATATTTAAAATACCTAAGATTAGGGGCACCTGGGTGGCTCAGTCTGTTAAGCATCTGACTCTTGATTTCGGCTCAGGTCATGATCTCAGGGTTGTGAGATCAAGCCCCCCTGTAGGGCTCCACACTCAATGGGGAGTCTGCTGGAGATTCTCTCTCTCCCTCTCCCTTACCCTCTGCCCCACCACCTCTCTCTCTTTCTAACATAAATAAATAAATCTTTCTAAAACATGCCTAATATTAAAGCACTTTATCAAAACTTATTGTAATGGCAAAGGTTTACTAAAATTAGTAATATTAAAATTTTCCCAAACCTTTGTTCTGTAGAACAAGGTGCCTCTATGTGAAAGAATAAAGGAAGTAGTAATTGTCATTGAATAAGTTTCGGTAAAATCTTTCTATACTTCCCAGAAGCTGAAAAGCAAACTGTATGACAAATACACAGACAGCAGCTAAGTATGTCACCTAGAAAGAGAGAAAACCTGCCATGAGAAGTGTGGTCAGCAGGTATCCTCCAGCCCCCACATACAGGGATCCACTGTGATGTTCACGGGGAGGTCATGCTTTCTGCAGGCTGCTCACAGCCAATGACTGAGCCTGGTAAGGGGACTAGAGCCAGGCCATTTCTGCCAATGCAGGACTCTTTTATAGTCATCCTTGCTCTGGGGCTCCCTCCTGGCCCCAGGACTTTCTCAGGGCTGTGCTATATCCTGAGGCCCTTCCAACTGAGACCCAGTTTCCTTTCCTTCCACCTCCCCTTTCTCAGGTTCAGATCTGCAGTGCAGGCTGAAGCCTTTCCTTTCTCTGCTCCTCTCCCCCTTTATCTCTTACAAGTATATCGTACCTGAATCTTTGACATTTTTCATTTTGTCTTAGAGTCTGCCTCATTATTGGATACTCTCTAATACTAGGGTATGAAATTGTATCTGACTCTTCACTTTCAAAAAAAAATTGAGAAAGATCTAATCAAATGGTCCGGTGCTAATAAAGAAAAACAAATTTTGATAATAAACCGAGGAGTGGGCTAAATGGAATAAGAGTAATCTCATTCCCTTGGGGGCACGTGGGTGGCTTAGTCTGTTAAGCGTCTGCCTTCGGTTCAGGTCATGATCCCGGGATCCTGGGATTGAGCCCCAGGTTAGGCTCCTTGTTCGGCGGGGAGTCTGCTTCCCCTCTCCCTCTGTGCTCTCTCTTGCCCTCTCTATCTCAAGCAAAATAAATAAAATGTTAAAAATAAAAAAGAGTAATCTCATTCCCCTTGTTTAAGATTGGTTCAGGAATTCAGGCTTAGGCAAAATGTTGTACAACAAAACGTCACTGGGATTGGTTCAAGATGGGAATAAATTCCAATTTGGAGAAATGAGACACAAGGAAAAGTTTATTGGTTATTATGGAAAAGAGTTTTCCTATTCTTTTTTAAAGATTGATGTATTTATTTGAGAGAGAGGGAGAGAGAGCAAGTGGGGGGATAGGCAGAGGGAGAGAGAATCTCAAGCAGACTCCCAGCTGAGTGGGAGCCCGACACGGGGCTGGATCCTAGGACCCTGAGATCATGACCTGAGCCAAAATCAAGAGTCAGACACTTCACTGACTGAGCCACCCAGGCACCCCGAGTTTTCCTATTCTTAAAAATAGAACATTTAGGAGACAGTTTCTAGCTTCCTCTGGATATTGTGTAGGTGAATGTGAACCAAAAGCCTTCATTTTCATGCTGTGAGGAAAGCAGGCAGAGGACAGGCCAACTAGACAAGGGACAAGAGTCTACAGAGAGACAGAGGTAGGGAGGCCTGATTAAGCTGATCCTAAACCACTTTCTCCTTCTGGACCTCCTAGTTAAGTGAGGATACATTCCTCCTTGCTTAAAACTAGTAAAGTCAATTTCCTACTTCTGATAGCCATATAGATCCTATTTCTGATATCCAAATAGATCCTACTTCTTTGTGTTAGCTTTCCATTCCTCTGCTTACATAGGAACCTGTCCAGTGTCCAACATGGGCCAGTTCTCTTCCGCATAGAGAGGATCCTGTCCTTCATACCTCGGCTGATCTCCTGGAATTGGCATGCAGTTATTCCTCTGATGAAGCCTCCAGCTTCTAATACTTCCTCTGTGGAATGGGACCAATTTGGATGTGGATACCAGCCTGAATCAAGTCCGAATTGCTGGATTTTCTGTGACTGAGTTCATTTCTCCAGCTACATCTCTCTCCAGCCTCTATAACTTCCGCATCAGCCAATCCTGAGACTGATGCATGCATCAATTGAGATTTATTCATTATTTATGTATGGTGCCTGTCTCCTCATTAGACTTTTAGCTTACTGAGGGCAGGTTAGGTTTATTTTATTTACCATATTGCTTATGACAACAGATGAAGGTGTCTGGCACCTATTAGCAGTGGAATATTTATGGAATTAGTGAGTTACTGCATAAATGGATGCATATATATGATATTTGAACGCAAAGTGTTTCAAAAGATTGTAGAATCTCAGATTGTTCAAAAAAACCACTTAAAAGCAAAAATAATTTAATTTTAACATCAGTAATCATAATACTTCAAGTAGGAAGAGAAAATCTTTTATGCATAATTATCAAATGCCTCATTTAACCAGCTCTGATTAGCTATTTAAATTGCATGTTCTGGGATGATTTCTCTTAAAATGAGAAAGCATTGTTCTTCTGATCTTATCAAAAGATGTCATGTTTTAGAAAAAAAAATACAAACAAGCTCTTCAATCTCCATGACTTTACAATAAGAGAAATATAAACAGGAACTGTGGAAGTTCAATTTTTCCCTCTCCCACATATGCATTTATAGCCTTAAAGGATTACACATGCAAACGTGGCAGCAAGCACACACAAACAGTTGTCCATTTTAAAGGATCTCATTGTTCAGTAACCTTATGAACATCAACATAAATACACTTTCAAACCTGGAGGAATAGTAATACATGAGGAAAGGGAGGAAGATAAGCAGTAGTACCCATGCAGTTGGCTTCCAGCTCCAATGATTTTTAATTCATATGTCTTTCCACCAATTACTCCATAATTCACACACCACACAAGCATACACACACACACCCATGTACATAAATATGAACTTAAATATGTATGTATATCTATTTATATTCACACCTATGCATCACATTCTGAATCTTTCCTACTGTAATATACCTTAGCAGCGATGACCATTAGCTTGCCTTATCTCAGGATATCCTAAATTCATGGATGAACTGTAAGTTTTAAGTATTTGGGGGTAACCAGGGGGAGCTGATGTAAAATTTAATACTTTTTTTTTAAGAAAGTAGTCAAAGTCAGCTGTGTATAATTTATTCTTGTACTTCCCAGCCATGTAGATCTTGGCAGATTAATTCCCCCTTTCCACAGATGGGAAATTGGGGCCTAGAATACTTAACTAGCAAGCTCAGAATTTTAAATGCTAAATGCCTTTTTTTCTTTTTACAGTATGCTCAGAATTTAATTCTACCTCTAACAATCTAAGAGTTTATCTAAAGCCATTATTAGACACACAAGAACATTATTTCTACATTTATAAGCTAGATGTCAGAATTGGGTTGCCAGAAAGAATGTTTCCAGATAACTTTTATTTCTCTCTGAATTTAGGTTGCTCATGGATCACACTGCTATAACCCTACATCTGGTTAAAAAAACAGAAAGCTAGAAATTGGGAATGTTGTCTTGATTAGTATAGTACTTGTGGGTTTGTCAGTGCCTAATAGTTGCATGTTTCTATTTTAGATTATGTAGTAGTGAAATTGATTTTCCCATTTAGGAAGAAGCCTATGCTGTAAGATGGATCTCTCTGGAAAATAATTATATCCTCCTACGCCCCTTTTATTTTTTATGCTTAACCTGTGCCCTGAGTATATACTGACCTTTCTTTACATACATTATTTTATGCAATGCGATATTAATTAGGTATTATTATTAGTTTTTCTTTTTTTTTAAGATTTTATTTATTTATTAGAGAGCGAGCGAGAGAGAAACAGCATGAGAGAGGAGAGGGTCAGAGGGAGAAGCAGGCTCCCCGCTGAGCCGGGAGCCCGATGTGGGACTCGATCCCAGGACCCTGGGATCATGACCTGAGCTGAAGGAAGTCGCTTAACCAACTGAGCCACCCAGGTGCCCTATTATTAGTTTTTCTCTAGAACAGGTAAAGGAAATTAACTTTCCTAAGATCACAGAACTGTAAGTAATAGAGCCAGACCAAAGTATGACTTTAAGCCTCAGAGGATTTTATATACATCATGTAATACATTCTCACAGTGTGCACCTTTCCAGGAATGATATAACCTTGGCAATTAAAAATGTAGTCTTTGGACTGGAAGCATCAATATCCCCTCTGAGCTTGTTAGAAATACAGAACCCCAGACCCCATTTGGACCCACTGAATCAGAATCTGCTTGTTGACAAGATCCCCAGGTGATTCTAACGTACATTAAATTTTGAGAAGCAGTGGTATAGGACACAAGGCCATTGAGAGGAGACCTGGGTTATCCTTGTTTCATTATTTCCTAACTTGATCGTAATGGATAAATTAATTTTTCTAAGATCCAGTCTGCCCCTGAACAATAGAGATCATAGTACCTCTGGATCTGAATTGGTAGGAATGAGAAAATGCAAGGAAATCATAACCAAGCTTGCCTGACAAATAAAAAGGACTTAATAACTGGTAACTATTATTAATAAGCTCTTAAAATTGCACTTAATTTATGCTTCTGATAGGTTTGGAATACCTGAAAAGATCATACCTCTTCTTTTAATATAATTAATCATATAGTGGGACAATATATTGGAATACCAATCAAAATGTCTCCTTCTATTGTACTATTTAGCATCTTCTCAACTTCATTTAGACTGTAGAGGCACTAACGGCCACAAGAATGAGATGATACAGTCGGCCAGCAAAGAAAACTCTGAATGCACAAGCGTAGGCCCTGAGGGGCTTAAGGCAGAAACAATAGACTTAAAGGAATAGATTCAGATTGATCAAGTAGGATGGAGCAGAGCATAGATTCTGGGCTTTTGGATTTCACCGACTAGTGAAAGTTTTAAAAAAATAAGCGAAGACAAAGTGATGGTGTATCAGTCAGGGTTCTCCAGAGAAACAGAACCAATACATGTGTACGTGTGTATGGAGAGAAAGAGAGAGAGACACACACACAGAGAGAGTGTATTATAAGGAACTGGCTCATACATTATGGAAGCTGATAAGTCCCAATCTGCAGTTGGCAAGCTGGAGACCCAGGAAGACTCAATGTTTCAGTTTGAATACAAAGGCATGAAAAAAGGCAATATCCCAGTTTGAAGACAGCCAGGCAGCAGGAGTTCTTCTCTTAGTTTTGCTATTCTATCTAGGCAGTCAACTGATTGGATGAGGACCAACTTACTTTAAGGAGGGCAATCTGCTTAACTCAGTCTATGGATTTAGGCATTAATCTCATCAAAAACACTTTCGTGGAAACACCTAGAATAATATCTGACCAACTATCTGGGCACCCTGTGGTCCAGTTCCGTTGACAAAGAAATAAAGGATTACAGCTAAACTTTTATTTTACCAAGTTAAGGGCATTGCATTTCCAATACCTCATAAAAGAAGAGGCACATTTATGACTTTAACAAAGACCCTGTTTCTAAACAATTCATAAACTAAATTAGTTTGACTGTAGAAAACTACAGTGCATTGCCCTTAATTGTCTGATTTTAATGTGACCCAAAGAAAACTCTGCCAGGATGAAATGAGTCAGAAAATTGTGGTTTGGAGACTATGGGGAGAGAGCCTGCAAGGGAGTAAAATATTAAGGGGGGAATGCTGCTAAAATCCAGGAATGATGTGACAAAGACCTGATTTTCTGTTAATGAGAGTATGGAAGGAGTGATGAAATTGTTAACCTTAAAAATAAAACTGCCAGTATTTTACCAGGAAAAAAAAAAGATTTATTCAGGAATAGCAGAGAATTACACTCTGGAACAAACAAGCTACTGCAAAACCATAGAGCAGTCTGGAGAACAAAGGAGAGGAACACTCTTTTATAGAGGAAAAGGGGGAAGTTGGGAAGGCTATTATAAACAAAAAGCCTTTTGAAGTAAACTGGGAGTTCAAAGGATAGTGGCTTTTCATTGGCTGAGTTATGGCAGTCTCTCATTGGCTGGGCTGTTGCCTGGTTGAGCAGAGAAACCTTTCTTCCTCCTGCTGGAACAGTAACATTGTAACTAAAGCACTATCTACTTGCAAGGTATGTCTCTTCCTGTTGGGTCTGCAGTTGATGACAAGTTGTAGGGCATGAAAGCTACCCCTTCTGGTCCCCAGACTTCATCTTAAATGAGGTTTCCTTTTATTAATTTTTACAAAATACAGAGGGCAAGCAACTCAGAGTCATTATACTCCTTTGAGCTTTTCTTTTCTCATATGACAAAGGTTGATTGAGATATTATTAAGATCTGGTTATCAAATGTCTTGATTGTAGATGTCTAAATGAAGTACATCTGCCAGATGACAGAAATAAAACAATATGTCAAAAGCTTAAGCTTCAGGGACCTGATGAATGATGGTGTTACAGACAGAAAATTGTGAAGTCATACTATACCTACCAGGTGCCTCTAGTCATTCTGCAGTTGTAAGAAATCCACGATTTGTTCCTTTTACTTTCAGAAGAGAAAGAAAATAGGGCTTAATCTTATCTTTAAAAAAAAAAAGCAAAATAAAATAAAACAGCAAATTAGGTCCTTTGCAAAATATCTGTAGAGAAGGAAATAAATGGGCACAGAACTATTGCTTTAGCTATGAAAACGTTTTTTAAATACTGTATATTTGTGCAAGTTCCATTTGAGACATAATGAAAAAATTAGTTGCTTTTCAAATGGACAATCAACAATTCTCTGTCACAGGTTGCAGAATAAAGCAGTACACTGCTAAAGGGGGTAAAAATATAATATGGTGGAGGAGTCCAGGAGCAGATTGATTAATTACAAGATCAGTTATAGACATCATCCCTTACATTTAAATTAAAGGTGCCTAGCTGCCATTTTTTAGGTGCTGGTTTAAAGACCTGGTTATCTCCATACAGATTAATTTCATTATTCTTACATTTCAAATCCTTATGAAACAGTGAGAATATTGAACTGATCTTCAGTGAAACTGGGTGTAGCAGTCCCTCAATACTCCATTCATGTAAGATGATCATGTATTTGAACATATTTGTAAAAGAATCACAGCTTTGTCATTCAATATCTTCTTTACATCAATGTACTTTGATGGAATCTCAATGCCTTATTTCAGCAGAGAATATATTTTATACACTGGTCTCAATCAAACCTAATCTAAAGGTTTTATTTTCAATACAGATTAATGCACTAATGACTCTAATTTCACAGTCTTGTGCTATTTCTTAGCCAATAAAATTATGATTGACTTCCTATGTAATTATATGTGCTGGACTAATGGTTTATTTACACTTGTAATCTCTAATTCATGTTCTTTGAAGAGCTATTTTTACTTTAGTCTTTTCTCATTGAAAATTTTAGGCATAAGAACAGAATATTGTTAAATATATGAATGTATAGAACTTGAAAAATTCTAAATGAATAAAATCGTATCCTCATTTTAAAATGAGAGTGTGGACGTAAGGTATTATTTTATCTTCCCTGATATTCTGCTTACTTCTGCATAAAGTAGCTCTTTTCTTTTGGCAAGTGAACATCTAACATGTGGTCTGAGTTAAAGGTGCCATCTTCCTTTGGTCATAACCTCCCTGGCTGATGTAGTTTGTATAAAAGTGAGAACCTGACCTAGGCTGTGTTGATTGCAGTATTTTGGTTTCTAGCCACAAAGATTGGCCTGGGGCAGTGTTGAGGGGGACAGGGAGGCACTGGCTGTATCCGAAGCCAGGTCTTCCCTAGGAATTTTCAACTGATTTAAAACTGGAAGGGAAGAGCTCTTTCCTTCCTCGTAGATAGTTGGGAACTTGTGATCCAGGGGCTACTGGTAGACATTAATCTAGCCCAGGATTTCTCAACCTCAGCAGTCTTGACATTTTGGGTCAGATAACTTCTTGTTGCAGGATGCTTAGTAGCACCCGACTTCTACCAACTAGATGCCAGTAGTACCCTTCTCCCCTAGTGTGGCATCCAAAAATATCTCTAGATATTACATGATAGTATATATTATACCATACTATATTATTAGATTCTGCTAAATATTCCCCAGTTGAGAACCACAGAATGAGCCTCATGTAAAGGTAGCAATAGGGGTAAAGGAAGTCAACCCTTTTTTTTTTTTTAAGATTTTATTTATTTATTCATGAGAGACAGAGAGAGAGAGAGGCAGAGGCAGAGGGAGAAGCAGGGTCCCCACGGAGCGGGGAGCCTGATGCGGGACTCGATCCCAGTACCCTGGGATCATGACCTGAGCTGAAGGCAGACGCCCAACCGACTGAGCCACCCAGGCGTCCGGGAAGTCAACCCTTTCAAGAGAAGTAGGAAATAAAGACAAAGAGAAATAAACCTGTTCAGGACCAGTTATACCCAAATATACCCTTTTCATTTTTGGTTATATAACTGCATCAATTCCCTGTGATCTAAAGTAGTTTGGTTTGTTCTTTTGTCAAAAAGATAAAAATTCTGAAACAATAACAGAAAAATACAAATGGAGAAACAGAGCCAAAGCACAATAAAAGAGAAATCAATCCATAATAGGACTTGATCAAGTAGATTAAACTGTGAGTTTTAAAAAATATATAATAACTTATAAACCTGTTTAAAGCAAAGAGAAGATAAAGAAATTGATTATGAAATAGATGGTCAATAGTATAAATGTACTTATCTTCACTTCAGAGCCTCTTATCTTCAAGGTAGTCATGGCATGAGGAAAAAAAGAAAAGAAAAGAAACGAACCCAGATTTTTATTTGTATCTTCCTGGGATTATACACATGTTTAGTGACGATTTCCTACTTAAAGTATGTATCTCTGTGTGTGTTTGTAGTTCTCTAAAAATGGAGCATATATGTTTCCTATCCAATCAAAAAGAGAAGGAAAAGTACAAACTGTGGACCAGGCAAGTAATATCTCCAGATCGGATCTTATCCTGAGCTCACTGATTCCAAAGCTCCCATGAGTCATCCTCTACGATGATGACTTTCATCCAAGTACAACCGCATTTCCTGTAAACACAAGAAATAAGTTTCTTTCTCCCTAGGATTTCGGGTCAAAATGACGGATTCAGCATTGATGTTTCTGCTTTGAAGAGCCAGTTGAGGTAAAAAGACTTTTAATTTCCCCCTAGGTCACTGGAATGAAAGGGGTAGGGGGCGTGGAATCCTAGCAATATCACAAGATGGACTTAAACTATTTTCAAAATATACTAAGTCTATTACCAATTCTATATAACAGCTACTGGCACATCCACTTAAAATCCTTCTTTTGTCTTTTTTGAAAGGCTATATGACTCAGAAAATTAATTGAAAGCAGGAAATCTGTGTTTTGGGAAGCAGTTATTGAAAGAAGGCATGTGTTGAATGAAAAGTATATGTAAACTTCAGGGGGAATCCTTCTTTTAAGTAAAATCCAAATGAGTTATTTTGTTGTTGTTAAGAGGCTTTTTTATAATGAGGTATCCAGTAGTCGTATTTCCATATTAATAGCAACAACCATCACAGCACACATCACAACAACCAATTCAAAAGCTATACCAGGTGTCCCACCTCTGGGATGACAACATAAGGAGTTCCATGGACTTGATCCCCAGTGTGAAAATTGTAAAACAGCCTCTTCAGCAAATAGTGTTGGGACAACTGGATAGCCTCATATAAAAGAATGAAATTGGGCCTTTCCTTCACATCATATGCAAAAAGTAACTCAAAATGGATCAAAGACATAAATCTAAAAGTTAAAACTCTTAGAAGAAAACATAGGGGTGAATCTGCACAAGCTCAGATTTGAGAATGGATTCTTAAAAATGACACCAAAGCATAAGCAACAACAACAACAAAAAAGCCAGAAACAATGAATTTCATCGAAATTAAAAACTTCTTTGCTTCAAAGTGCATTATCAAGAAGTAAAAAGAAGTATCTGCAAACCATAATCTGATAAGGGACTTTTATCTAGAATATATAAATAACTCTTAAACTCAATAATAAAAAGACAACCTCACTTTAAAAATTGGCAAAAGATCTGAATAGATATATCTGCAAAGAATATATATAAATAGCCATAAATCACATGAAAAGATGCAACAGGAAATACAAATCAAAGGTATAATCAGATATCATTACACCCAATTGGGTGGCTATAATACAACAAAAACAAACAAAACCAGAAAATAACAAGCATTCATGAGGATGTGGAGAAATCAGAACCCTCATACATGCTAGTTGAAATGTAAAATGGTGTAGCCACTTTGGAAAACAATCTGGCAACTCCTTATATGGTTAAATACAGTTGTGCTATGACCCAGCAATTCCACTCCTATGTAAAGGCCCAAGAAAAATGAAAATATACGTACTCACAAAAATGTATACACCAATTTTATAGCATCATTATTCATAATAGTCAAAATTGAAAATAACCTAAATGTCTATCAAAGAATAAACAAATATAACGGATAAACAAAATGTGGTATATCCATACAATAGAATATTTTTGGCCATTTTATTTATTTATTTATTTATTTATTTTAAGACTTTATTTATTTGACAGGGAGAAACACAGAGAGGGAGGGAACACAAGCAGGGGGAGTGGGAGAGGGAGAAGCAGGCTTCCCGCCGAGCAGGGAGCCCGATGTGGGGCTCGATCCCAGGACCCTGGGATCATGACCCGAGCCGAAGGCAGACGCTTAACGACTGAGCCACCCAGGCACCCCAATTTTTGGCCATTTTAAAAAAAGAATAAAGTACTGACAAATGCTGCAATACTTGTTGAAGACATATTAAGTGAAATAAGCCAGTCATTAAAGATCACATATTATAGGATTCCAGTGATATGAAATAATGAGAATAGGCAAATTTATAGGGACAGAAAACAGATTGGTGGTTCCTTAGGCCTGGGGATGTGGGGGGGGTGGTTAGAAAGTGATAGCCAAATGGTATAGGGTTTCTTTTTGAGGTGATGAAAAACTAGAAGCAAAGTAAATAACTATAAACAAGAAAATGTCTGCATAAATTACTACATACTCACACCATGGTATATTGTAAACCCATTTAAGAAATTTATTAGAGCTATTCTTGACTTTGAACATTTCCACAAGATATTGTTGAGTGACGAAATGAGAGACAAAATAGCATGTATAATAGGACTTCATTTTTATAAAACAAATTTTAAAACTGTGTTTGGGAGCATGTGTATGTGTGTGTGTGTGTGTGTGTGTATGTAAGTCTATACCGAATACTTTGGGTATGGGAAAATATAAGGAAGGATACATACTACTTAACAAGAGTTAGCTGTGTGGGTATGCATGGTATGTATGTGGGATGGCAGTCATGTGGACAGAAAGGAAGGGAGCGGGGGAGGAAAGACATGCAAAACTAAAGAGGAAGAAGAAAGGTACTGAATCTAAATATAAAGCATTTTTATGTGATTCCCATTTAAATAATTAATGATCTTATTGGTACCATTTCTCTGGTAGGTATTCTTTCTTTCCCCAGTCTTACT